CGCATTTCGTGGCACCTCCAGGGGTGTCACCTCCAAGGCATGTTTTCTCGACCGTTTTTTGCTTGAAAATGGTCATTTGTTGAGCATTTTCGCGACTTTAGTTAGACCTGTTTGACGCCATTGTTCCGACTAACCGAGAATCGAAGATTGGAGTCGGATCTTCTCTGGTTCAAGATGGCAGAAAATAAGTAGAAAGTTTTGTTGTCTCTCAACTTTTGTCGCTATGCAGCGAACTAAACCCGGGTGTTTTTAGTATGTGAAAAGAGAGAGAGAGAGAGAGAGAGAGAGAGAGAGAGAGAGAGAGAGAGAGAGAGAGCGGTACATCGTTTCAGACGTGTGCCAAAAATTGAGTGTCAACAATGTCGTCTGCTACCTTGTGCTTCGTCTCTGTCGGTAGACATGACCATGTCTGGTTCGCCGCTTGTTTTTTTTTCGCGCTTAATATCTAAACACCTCTCTGGCTGTCACTTTGACGTCTCCAGCAAGTTCTTTCAAATCCCCAGGACAATGCTTTTTCCAGCTCGATCTTACTTCAGCGGTCGAACACTTTTTTGGATTACCACGCCTTGACGGGCAATACCCAAGAAGTTCTTTGTGGAAGAGGGGAGCACGCATGAGCAGCTGACTGACGAACCATAAATAGTGGAAGGGGGTATATTAAACACTGGTTGTTAGTTTGCCTTTCTTCTTTTGCTTTTTGCTTCCTTTTCTAAAATGTTTTTTTGGTTGTTGTTGTTGTTGCTGTTGTTGTTGTTGTTGTTGTTGTTGTTGTTCTTTCCCCCCCCCCTTATTTTTCTTGTTTTCCTATCTTTGTAGGGCCCCCTTCCCCCAGGGGACCACACGAACCTGCTCGAAATTTCATTGAAGTTGTTTCAAAATTGAACGGAGATCTACCTTTGTGATCCCGATAATAATCATATAAGGCATGTCATTATTCTGCCAAGTACCAGAGTGGGTCGCAGTACTATCAGTGCGTAGGCCCTACATCCATTACGGCATTTTTCATCCGATTACCCAGTCAGGACATGTTCGTTTCCTGTTCTCCATTGTCATGTCCCGTGAAGGCCCAGCAGGTATCACATGCGCAGGGTGATGTTTCCGACCGTCGAAGGTCACATAAGCCCGGGCACATAATCTTTGGACAGGAACTAGGTAAAACGTCTGTTTTCATTTGGGGGTTCAATGCAAGAGCACACGCAGTTGCATTTGTCGCTGTTAGAATTGACGCTGTTATCTTTTTTATCTTGACAAGATTTCCTGGGCCACAACTCCTTTACAAAGCTTTGTAACGTACAACCTCGTTCTCAGTGTGACCCTAATACGAATGCTTGAAGTTTGCAACGCAGTTTTCCAAGTTTTGCAGTATATAATGATGTGTCACCGTTCCCTCGCTGATATCAATGAACAATCGCATTAAAAAGGAAAATTCTGTTACCATTTTCATTAACAATATGGGACTTGGTTTCGGATCCAAGTTCATTTTTCAATATTTAGGACTTTTTTGGACTTGACTAGGCTGGGACTCGGTTGGTGACTGACTCGGACACGTTAACGGAGTGGACAAGGATGCCAAATCACAAAATGAACTCCAAGGAGAAAGTGTCGTATGGCCCAGGTGTCAGTTTTAGCCACTATACAATTATTTCCAAGGATGGATTTGCCCCGGGGAGATGTTAATTAATGTTAGAGTTTTGCCCTGCCCGACGTGCATGATCACACTGTATACTTGGGGGAAACACCGAGTATACATTGTGATAATACACACCGGGCAGGGCCAAAATCTAAAATCAAAAAAGACAACTTGATAGAATAAATCGGGGACTGAGGTGAAAAGAAATAAGTGTCAAACTGTGCGATAAGCGAAAAGAATTCACAAGCAGTTACACACCATAGATTGCCGGCTCCTCCTCGTTAAGTTCCAGTTGGCATCTCAAGGCCGTCGGCTGAAAAATAGTCTTCAAATTCAAGGACGCGGGATCCAAATGTGGATGTCCCTTTGTGCTTAGCTCACGCGTTTTTGCCACAAACATTGTAAGAGATGCACTGCATCAATTCCTTGACGTGCTTCAATATAAGTCGGGGGGAGATTATCAGTCTGTAGGCGACACGCAAAAATGCCTGCGAACGTATTGCTACGGTTTGTATTTGCAGTTTTATTAGTGCATTTTTAGTTTGCTTCTAGTTGCCTTGAAGCTTCCAGTGTACCATTCTCAATGTTATTGAGCTGGTTAGGGTTGGAGCCTCGCGTTTCATTTTTATCCGAGCTTTACAAAGCCACGTGGCTTGAATTTCAAAATTGGCAAATTGAAGGGAAACACCCTAAGTTAGCAACTTTTCGTGTATGTTTGCATAGGCGTTTGTTTTAAAGGGCTGTTTCGAGAGCCTACATATGGCTGGCCGTCATTACAAACACAAAGATTAATACCCAAAATCTTTAGAAAAAAACTCTCATGCAACTCTACAAACACTAAAAAGGATGAAATATGCACCCTAATGAAACAAGCTGTCGTTACAGGTCGAATGAAATTTCTCGACACTTTGTCATCGCATACAAGATGGCATGCTTGTTAAGATACTGTCACTTGCCGCGCGTTATGGATGGAGGGGAACATTATATAACAGTGAACGGGAAGAGCCACTTCTCCACACTCCTGTACAGAATTTCATTTACGTTATCAAAAAAAGTCAACGTTCACAAGAATTTTTTTCCAATTTTTCAAAGCCAACTGCTCGGAATAAGGAGATCTTTTGGTATATATGCTTCCGGCGAAATTCGTTCGTCGATGTCTCTTTCCCAAACCCCAGTTGTTACCAAATTACGGCTGAACATAATGAGATACATGTACCTCGATTGAAGCACCGGTTAAACTCTAAGATAATCACTTCAAAAGGCATTTAATATGAAATGTTCCAGGATGTTGGACGCCGTTTTTGTTTTTATTTTTTTATTTTTTTTTGTATCCAATGGCGTTGCACACCGTTTCTTCCCTGTCAACAGGCTGATTGCAACCAATAAGTCACGTGACCTACAGTGGGTATTACAGCAACAAACACGGCGTCCACCCAAAGCAAAGTGTTTCATGAGTATCATGTACCAAAAATACTAGTGTGCTGGGTACTTGCTATGGGGTTGATACCCATTATAGGTCACGTAATTTAGTGGGCGCAATCGGTCTATTGTCTGCGTCTTGACATCTTCCATGCTTTCTGCGATCGTTTACAACAAATAGCAACTGGGATTGATCCCACTTGCCACTTCACCACTGAGGGCATTAATAAACAGATTTTGTTTCTGTAGCCATCTAGATCGCATAGCTGAAAAGCGCATGAATCACCAATTCACGCGTCAAGACGGAAATGAAATGTGCATTAATGTGCGTGTGACGTACCCTGAATTAACCTTGCATCTTTATTGCAGGCCAAGTTTGCATTGTAACCCTTTGTATGCGTGCACTCCGTGGGCACAGGAACCATGCAAAAGTTGATTGATTGCTCGGTGACGGACATCCGTTCCTGCTGTCAGTTCATGCGTCATTTGGCCGTGTCAGCCAAGTCACTCAGTTTGAGAGCCAATTGGGAACATTTTGTATACCTGGTATGGTCTCATGTTCCAAACTGAAACATTGGCATTATTTAAATGTCATTTGACATCTTCAAGGTCTAGACTTTTGGAGCAATAGGCCTATACGCGCTGTTCTTCGCATGCGTAAGAAGATAACGCGTGTGTATACGCCATAGAAGTCGAAAACAAGGGGCATGCTTCCTCGAATGCCCCACTCCCGTACACACCAATAGCCAAGCTCATATCACGTACAAAGTGTGGACATTCTGTTGCTTTCATGTGGTTAAGAAACATTGTTCCTTTTTCTCCCATTAGGAAACTCCTTAAAGCTAACTTTTTGAAGATGACGATGATATCCTGGACATTTCCTTTTCAAGTTGCTACACAAAACCCAGACCTATTGTTTCTTAAAGTGTTTCTGAAAGAGGGGAGAGCACTCTGAAGGTATACGTTTGAGTCCACTCATCGTCTACTAACCCTACATTTTGTGGACTTCTTTAGTTCGGAGGTCCACATTAGATATTATAACATCATGTAAGGCTATAGCATACCACTAACAAACACGTACAAATTTAATCTCCTGCCGTGGATGCATTTTATATGTACTCTTACATTGTATAAATTTCGGAATGCAAACCTAACTTTGCTCATTCGCTCTTGATTGATATTCCAACTTTACTGTTAAAATATTATCCTACAGTGTATCTTATACCGCAAGAATTAGTTATATTTGTTCACTTGTCAAGATTTATCTTCATATACCATCTCCAATTGCAGTCATTTCGAGGTTATTCTAACATCCATATTCATTGAAATGGAAAATACAAAAATGTCTACTTCTGTCGATTAAAGGATAGCAATGCGACTATACAGTATTATGTGGATGCGTGTTGCCAAATAACAGCTCTGACTTCGTGACCGAGGGGTCACTTTCACCAGACCAGCGTACTTGCAGCATTGGAAAACTAAATAAATTTATGGAATGTAACGGATCACTTTCCTGAGCTACATGACTATACATGGACATGAGCTGCATCTACTGAGATCACCTTTAATGGGTCTCAGTGTCTCTGAGGATTGCGTGGCTTAGAAATTACAGATTATCAAATCAATGGCTTTTTGTCAGCATTTGCAAAGTTCCCTAATTTCCAAGACTGTGTTATCACGTCCTTATTAATGACTAATTTTGATGAACTTCCCCAATGGACAAACATGATCACACGTCTAAACGGTCACGGACCGCAACTTCAAAGTACAGGCCTACCGGTAAAACTTAGAAAGGGTTTTGTGCAAAATCATGCAGGCCTATGAAGTGATAGCATCCTAATCGCTGACCATATATGGACGGGGTTGTGTCACTTTCACAGTCACAATTACACCACTCACAATACCTGACAATGATGCGGGGGTGAATGTGAACATCAAATCGGCAATTCATGCCCAGGCAGCCGGAGACCGGAAGCCGATTACGAAACTTGTCCTGTTCTTTGCTTCGGACGGGCGCGATAATAAGCTTCTCATCAGAGGTCTTTGACCGGGTACGTCAGAGAAAAAACCCTTGGTGGTTATATAAAGCGGAGCCCCGGTTTCCAGTCAACCAACTGTGTCAATTCAACCACTTTCGTTTGGACGAGGAGACGAAATTCCAGGGAGGAAAAGAAGAGAGCCTGACACGCAAGATGAGCTTAGCCAGAAAAACGATCGTGCTCCTTTTGGGAGCGTACATGACTGCAGCATTGCCGGTAAGTTTGCCGTGTGCCCGTTCGTGTTGTTGACAATGTTTCTGGTATAGATTCCTTGTTGCCTTCGCTTTTGTTCCTTGGTCGCTTTTGACTGATTGATGATTGATACGATGTCAGCCTTCATTACAACCTGTTTCATTTTTTTCTGGCTTTGTCGTCACAAGGAGAACAGCTGCACCAGTCCTATATTTTCGCTTGTTTTTCGGGCCTTGTCCTGAGAAATCAAATCGCAATAGGCTGTTTTTTTAATGAACCAAGTAAACAGCTGCATGGTTAAATGTCTGCCGGAAAACCATTGTGAGATAACATTCGTTCATTTGAGAAGAACTTACGCCTAGTTTTGGGGAAGAATTGGCCCACGAGTGTAGGCAGGGAAATTTGACGAACATTGGAAAATAAATCAGCTTCAGAAAACCCCAATTAAATATCGTGTCTTCCTAAAATGACGTCACTGCAAGATTTTGCCATGAGAAGCTCTACAGCTGTTTCACACAGTGCAGTGTTCAATTCGTCTACTCAAAAATAAATGTTACATAATTTTTTATACATTTAAAACAAGTAGAAAACTGTACCAAATTAAGATTAATACATGGGCCCTTAGAAACGCACATTATTTTGTGAAATCAGATTAGGACTTAATCAATAAAAAGGTTACGATTTTCTTCTCGAATAGCTCCCTGAAGAACCGGACACCTTTGACAATGCTACATTGGATCTACGCCCCAATGGAATGCCTGCATTTGAGGTATGTTAGTACTTTGCTGATTTCAAAGACACATTTTGAAGTTGGTTTGACACCATTCATTGTCAAATGTCACAGACAAATGCAAAACGAAGAGCCACAGTTGGTTAACTTGGATGCTGCAATTCACCATCCCATAGAAAGGACAAAAATGAAATTCCAAATCACTTCTGAAATCATTCGTTTTAACAATGATATGGGCGATTCGATAAGTGAAGTGTACTCTTGACAGGCTGGGAAACATCTCTTGCCGATTCAAATTTAATTTTTATCAAACATTTGCTCACTTTTCCCAAGTCAAGCATTACCTGTCATCATACATGCAGACACTTTGTTTTCATGGCCGTGTCGGCCATGAGACACAAGTGGTGCATGGCCCTTGATTTACAGCCAGTTTCACTTACTTCCCATTACAATGATAGCTTCAAATTGTCTGGGTTTGTGTTTACATTTCGTTATCTTTGAGCACGACGTTTCGAGTAAAGCAAACACAAGCGTTCCGAATTGCATGTTTTGATTGTTTCTTTTTCACGAATTTCACTCCTCCCAAAACTCATTTAAACGTTCATAAGTCCTAACCTCAAGGGCAAGCAGCATATCCAACAGTGGGGACCCCCCATGTTGCAAACATAAAACGGCAAAGAATCGACAACGCCGGCATTTTAAGAATGGTACTCCTTCTGTGGGGGTGAGAAATTTTGGGATGAAAATGTTTTATTTTGAAAGTCGTTTTTAGACAAATTATTCCCATTTTGCCCCTTCCCCTCCGACCGAAGATCTGGACACACCACTGCAGATTGGTACAGCTTTTTGCAATGACCTCTTCTGAATCGCTAAATGTACTGTTGTACGCCAGAATTGTTGGAAGAATATAGTAAAAACTGATCCACATGTTTTAACAACCCTGCCACATTTTCTGACATCTAACCACTTCCTGGCACTCTTCCGTTACTGATGTGTTTGATTAATGTACCTCGACCAATGATCCTTTTCCTCCTTTACCGCAGATCATCGCTGTGGAGCCAACATTCGAGCGTAAGTCAGTTTAGCGTTTGTGGTGTTTCATTTTCGGTTTTCAGCCTGCGCAAATATGACTCACCTACCTTCAAATCTTGACTGTCTGTTAGCCTAACCACACTTGAGTTTGGGATGGGAAGCATAAATTATTTTCAGACCTTTTAATGTGGTAAAGGCTCTAAAGTTTGTTTGACAAATTGCAGGTCCAGTTTTATTTAACTATCTTGAAAGGCTTATCGACTTTGAAGAGCAAACAGTGGAAAATCTAACAAAACAAAACTGTGAACAGTGCAACTTTTTCGAATCACTTTCGCCAAAAAGAAGAGGACATGCTCAGCAATATGTTTTGGAAATCGAGTTAAAGACCAAAGCATCTTTAGATTGAGGCATTTTAAAAAATTATGAAAAAGTGTAGTTAACTATCGTTTTGAGAGAGAAAGTGGAAATGAAATGTCATGGGTGTTGATCGCGAGCCCGTCGGCTGTGGATGTGGCGGCGCTAGCCCATTTGACAGCACCGATCCTTGCTGTATCATCTTTGAATGTTGTCAATCAGCACCCAAGGACTCAAGAGTTATCAGTCTCAATAAAACCAGTTTTAGAGATCCATGCATGATCAGGTTCAGAAGGTAGGCATGATCAAAACTGAACGGCGTCGTGGGAATCGAGCTCGAGTAACTGCTCATGGATGGAGGTGCCACCACGTGAATTTCGAGCAAAAAAAGGACTAAAGTCAGACATTTTCATCTCTCTCCTTTCTTTTGTTTGTCAGAGATGGAAATGTTTGGGACAAAAAATGAAGAGGACAGCATGGACCTGATCGTGAAACAGTATTTTCAGATGACACCAGGTGAATAACTCCATCCAATCTTGAACTGTCTTGATTGTTTCCATGACAATGTCAGGGATTACCTTAATTCCAGTTCATACTCGGCGCAAAAGCGAACAAAAATGCGACTTTGCATTATGAAATCAAATATTGATCGAATGGTGATCTAAGGGTGATTAAGCACATTTCAACAAGAGCAAAGTTTTGCTGCAAATCTTTCGTGAAGTGAAATTCGCTTGCTTTCACATGCGCCCAAAGTATGAACCTACCTTTACACGAGAAAAAAATAAGATGTTGGTTTTCCCACTTATCGAAGAGCAGATGGCTCTGTATTGCCAGCGCAGGCGCAATTATACCAAAAAGGCCAGCTCATCCTTCAGGCGAATGGGAAGCAAATACGACTTCAGAAAAACAGTTGCAACGAACTTCGCGCCAGTCGGCGTGTTGCGATTTCGCTGAATGTACCTGTACTGTTTGGATCTGACGTCAAAATATTTCGCGCGTTGTCTCTGCTTTTGTGCCGAGTGTGAATTGACCTCTAAATTGGGAATTACCTGCTTGGAGCTGAGCCTTGGTCTCAAATATCCTTGTACCCCACCGACTAGGAAAGCAATAGTCAAAACGATGATACTTTCTAGGATGTTCCTTTTGAATGTAGAAAGCTTGTCAGCATTTTTAGTTCTGTGTTTTTTTCAACAGATTTACGAAACATTACGTTTGAAGGCGACGTTGTCCTTGGTTTTGACGTCGACGAATACAACATGACGGTAAGTACGGTGCTAGTTATAAATACACATCAGATTCTATGATATTTGGAGCTGGAAGTACTGTATATTGTCCGACTGCTGTTGGTTAGTACACAAGGTGGGTGAGGAAGTCACTTTAATACAGTAGTCATCGATGTCGGTTCTGTTTTCAATTAATCGCGAATTGGAACCAGAAGTTGATGACAGAGATGACTCCTTTCGCAACCAATTGTTAAACCGACACGGCAATCATCTTTTCAGTGATGAGATTTGATATTTGGCTGTGGATATTCAAATGAAGCTACTCGATCAATTTACAATGGTTCAGTCAGTTCTATGCCTGTGACTGATCATAACTGACTTGTCATGTGTCTAATTATCATCAACAGCGCCCACTCGAGACCGCAGTACGCAACCGTAACAGGCGCTGGCCAAACGGCGTGGTGCCTTATTTCATCGACAATGCCTTTGGTAAGGACCGTCTACAGTAAATATCGGGCAAGTTCGGGAGACAAACATATTTCAACTACATGTATAAGTGAATTAAGTTTGGCACCCAGGATTAGATACAGGTGCATGCTCAGACAACTGTTACGTTTCGTGTGATTTTTGTTGTCTTAATTTCTTCTTGTATACCGGTACTTTCTCCGTCAGATGCTGGAGCGAGGGGCCGCATCTTAAACGCCATTCGGAGGTACCACGAGACCACTTGTCTACGATGGGTTCAAAGAACCAATCAGAGAGATTATGTGCATATTGTGCCAAGGCAGGGGTAAGTTTACTGTCACGTGGTCGGTATACAAACATACAGCTTATCACATGACCCTGTTCATTATGCTTCTGAAAGTACTATAAGTGAAAATGTTTACCAACACCTCCACGGCCTAGACGCGGTAGCGCTGCAATGGATCTCTTTGCCCTACACACGACAGCAGCTACGGAGGCCGTTTTTCACCACCTCACCTCCACCTTCCGCTTACGACAATATTTTTGTTTGCAGTCATGATGATGAGTGTGTCTAACTCCTCCTGACTTGTGAATGTGTTAACATTTTTAGTTTTGCAGTTTGGGAACAGGTTAATTTGAAAGCACTGTGAGGAGTGGATAGTTCCTCTGGACTTCTTACGATGTTCTAGTTTGTCTACCCCTGCTTGGCAATTTCCTTAGGTGTTTCTCGGCAGTCGGTCGTCGGGGCGGGCGACAGGAACTCTCCGTGGGTGGAACCTGCAACTTTGCCCGTGGGGTCATCATGCACGAGATGATGCACGCCGCGGGCTTCCAACACGAGCAGACGCGGACGGATAGGGACCAGTTTGTCACCGTCTTCTTACAGAACGTCATACCGGGTAAGCGTGGCTGTGGCCAGGGAAGAGACCCCTATCTGGTACGGTCGGTGGGTTTCTGTGGGCCAGTGGTTATGGTGTACCGCGATTGCACTCCTGGGAAAAGAGACTTTGAAGATATCGCAACTCGCCAAGCTTTAGCGAGTGCCCGGGAGGATAACAAAACAGATTGCACTTATCTTCAACAATGGAGAAATGATCCGATGGCCTCATGAACAAGGTATTGCTGTAATACTTTTAGGTTTAAAGAATTGGACGTATTGCGAAGTTCCTGAATATGTACCGCATTATTGTATTCTTTGGTAGTCATCCTTGTCAGAGATTGCATCCGCAAAACTGATGTGAAGTATTTATGTACATGCTTGATGAAATAATTAAACTTCTAATGAAATGTTTAAGTGCTACGCATTGCAATTTGAAGTCAACAAAAACATGAATTTAAAAAGATATCTGCTTGGACTCCACTGTATATTCATCCTTCCAGTGTGCACGAAATGCACCTTTTCCTGTCTAATATCTGTAGGAAGTCCGATAAGCACTCGCACTCCTGCCCTTTCGCCTTCCTTGTCTATTACAGCAGACCTCAAATTTCGTTTGCTATACCGGTACGGCTCCAAGTTTAGCGTCAGAGTTGTGAACTTTCCGTTGTACGGGGTTGGCCTGTGGGAGACCAATGGCCAGCGGCAAGGGCTACTTCCCACATACGCCTGTGATACTTGCGGGCCGTAGCCAGCTGATTTGGAGACGGCCTTTCTACGGTAGTGAAGCTCATTGTACCAGGCTAGCGCGCAGGCTCAGACTTGTGATAAACTTGTAGTTGACTCTTGGTAATTTGATGTCGAGTTCCTGACACATAATATTCCTTTGTTGTCACCTGATCAGTTTAGGCTGTGTGATTATGATAACATTCAGAAAGATCAGAAAGATGAAAGTCATTATTCACAACAACCATGTGTACCCCTTAAACTGTGTAGTTTCTGAATGATTGAGACAGAGACAAGGAAATTCGAAAGTCAAAAATGTGACTCCAGAAAATCGAAGGCTAGGCGACCAGTCGCATTTCCAGTCGCGTGTTTCTGTCAAACGCGTTCACACAAACGTCTTTACACAAAGGTCTTTACTGAGTGGGCTAAAACCATTTAGTACTGGCTTATTAACTGTCACCCGTTGTGACATTCTTCCATTTGTCTGCAATGTGGGACTAACTGCATCAGAGACGGAACCAACCCATGTGAAGCGCCTGCACGGCACTGGTCTGGTGTCTAGCATTCGTGGTGCAAATGAAATACTGATATAGCAGCCTATAGGGGAACTTCTGGTTTGTATGCACTGTTGAAATACACAAACGTAGAACAAAAGCTCAAAATAGCAGCTGTGTTAGACACAAACAAACTTTTTTATCCTTTCTCCGTACAGGAAAGACATTGGGCTAGTTTTCTGTCATCCGAAACTTTGAATATATGCGAAGGCAAGTTTCGGCGATACCACTGTTGGCTTTTGTCTGTGGAAATTGCTGATACGGAACGATCGACTCCTAATAACACGCCCTCCCCCTTCTTATGCAGGCCTTGAGTACAACTTCCAGCGCTACAGCGCCGACTTCATCGACAACCTCCAGACCCAGTATGACTATTTCTCTATCATGCACTACCCACGGAATGCCTTCACCAGAAACGGCCGGGACACCATCGTACCACGCCAGAACGTCGCCATTGGTAACAGAAATGACTTCAGCACCACGGACATATTCAAACTCAATACCTACTACGAATGTGGTAAGTCCAGCCCTTCTGTTTGGGCACTGCAACAATCTCCGCAAGACATTTCATGCCTCTACGGGAGATGCACGAAACCGCTAAATCCGGTACCATGCACCACTGTGATATACCGTGCACAAAACGGCCATCTAGAATAGTAAACAAGGAGATCTCTAGATCTATAGTAAAGATTGCGGTAACACCATGTATTTATCTCTTCTAGTTTCTTTCACCATGAAAACCTTTAAGTCTTATAAGGAGATCTCTGTTTGTTTGTTAACTGAAGACACGAAGGAGTGGAGAAGGTGCAGTGAAACAAATTACTCATTGTGCTTTGATTTATTTCAAACATCCTTTCTGACGATGGGATCCGATCTCTATTTTTATGTTTTTTTATGTTCAGGTGATAGAAGAACCGGGACCGGGACGACACCCGAAAATAGTAAGCACTCGTTTTTTTTTCTTCTTCCTTTTGTGCTCTGTTTTGTTTCAACTATCGCTATCCTGTGGTGCAGATATTTAATGTACATACGGCCTACAAGGCTGAGATTAACGAAGAAATCTATCCGTGGCTCAGGATGTCTAGCTTGTCTCTTGAAAAAAAACTTGCTTGCTGTTAAAATCATATGATTTGCTTGTTTGGTTTTTTAAATGTTTGACACTGGGGGAAAAACTGATAGAAAATCATGGTCAACATGAAATGAAGTATAGGCCTAAGACTATTTAAAATCGAAATCTGCAGAGGTAATAAGCTGTTTATTGTAAGCTCGGGGGTTCCAACAGTGACAAGCAGTTCTTGACAGCGAAAGCGATACTCTAGTAAATTACACGAGCTATGTTGGTGGTTGTAAGGGGTTAAGCCGTAATATCTTTTCAAGTCGTCCCAGTCTGTTTATTTCAACTGTTCCCGTACGCTATATATTATCATTTTTCTAAGTACTGTAATTCTGAAGGGCTGATTTGGGATTATAGTTCCAACCGGGAGAGTAATAACTCTCATTCTGTAATGCCAGATTGCGTCGACAACAATGTCAACTGCCAGTTCTGGGCCAGTATCGGCGAGTGTCAGGAAAATCCAGCCTACATGACCGTGAACTGCCGCCGTAGTTGCGGCATCTGCAGTGCCGGTAGAGCCATCACCACTCAAGGTACGCCTCATTGCTTGACTGCCACCGGCAAATTGGTGATGCCGGTGAATTTCCTCTAATTTTGAGTGGCGTATTGTGTTGAGGAAAAAGTGAGCATGGAGTTCAATTCGTCGATTAATTTCTAATGATATATATTTACCTGATAACAAAAGTTATTCCGAGTAAAGAAGTCGAAATCCTCGATTAGCTTTTGCCTCTAATAAACAATAATGTACAGAAAACAAATGAATTAGTCATATACAACTGCGCAAGGCTGCACGATGAACCCCCAGCAAGTTATGAGAGAGAGATCCGGTGAAAAGATGTAATGTAATCTAAAATCATTGCAAGGAAATAAGACTCTAGGTTAATGAAAATATCTGACTTTGCGCTGTTGCAAACTACAGGCTGTATTAAAAAAGTTAATTTGGCAAATGTTTGGTCGTGGATGATCAGAACTAGTTCCCAATTGAGAAGATTGACAGAGCAGCATTGGCTTTGTGTGCAAACTGCCTGTGTGATTAATCGTCCATCACGGAAGAAATCGGTTGATTTACATTTGAGTAAGATTTGCAGTTTAGCACGGTGGAAGTTACATGAGATTTAGGCTTACGGGTGCACCATGGAATCAATCTCTTTTGGAAGAGGTGTGGTCGTAAAAGAACCGGTGAGTGTTAACTCGACGTTTTGGCCAGGATGTTCTGACGATTCTCAGGAGAGTGTGCCTGACTCGAGTGGAGAGCTGGGTTAAAAAGGTAATCCCGGAAGCGGTGGAGCGTGGGACGGGATTCGATTTGTGTAATGCTGCGCGTCCACTGGGACATGAAAGTGTTGGATCCTGTGGTGGTGCAGGGATGCGTTTGGTGGAAATTACATGAGATATAGGCTTGCGGGTACACCGTTTGTTTATCTTTACAGATTCCGTGTGCATGGATATGGACGAACGCTGTGGGCTGTGGGCCAGCCAAGGCGAATGTCAAAACAACCCCCAATGGATGCTGCCCAACTGTGAACAGAGCTGTGGCCAGTGCACGCAGAGCAATGTCGGTGAGTATCCGCCTCAAGCAGAAGCACCCCCTCATCGGTTAAAAAGAGCCATTTTGTTGGGCAGTGTTCATTTTATGTAGGTAGAGACGCGACCGTAAGGCGTGCATTTCATAGTAGTTTGTAATCAGCGATATGCAGTTCCCGCCAAAGGTTCCATCTTTGCAAATGAAATTGCGCCCTCTCTTGGTTCCGCTCGGGGTTCATAGAATAAGACACAGCCCCAAATACATCTAGCCTAAGTGCGGTTGTAAGTCATGACAAAAAAGTTTAGAGAAACTAACAATTTCGTAAACATCCTCTGAGGCTTAGGGGCCCTCTTGTCTTTGCTCATTGTAACTGGTGGCAAAACCTAACCATTTTATGACAATAGACAGTTAATAGTGAATCAGAAGGCAAAAGGACAATAGTAAACATTTGCAATGTTTGTATTATAGTCAGTGAAGGTTTGACGAAGCAGTAAAACGTAATAGATGTAAACATTCTGTGGATAATAAATAAAGTCGAACGTAATAACTGTCACTTCACAATGACCCTTCACAAGTGCATGTGATTCTTCTATCGCAGCCTGCATGGATCTCAACGAGAACTGTGACATGTTGGCATTGAACGGCGACTGCGAGATCAACAGCGAGTACATGACGGAGTACTGTCAATTGAGCTGCGGGTTGTGCCAGGGGGGCCCCGGTAGCGGCGTGGACACGACCAAACTACACCACACCTGTCTGCTCCTGGAGGCTGTCCTGCTCTTCGCCGTTTTGCTTAAGCAGTAGTCCGTGGCGGTACCAACCTTCCTGACTGAATTCGGTGTGACGTAATTGCCCGATTTTGTTCTCACACATGTTCTTATAATAATTGCTGCCATGACCAGTGATGACTGCAATCTTAAAAGTGTTATTTTTCACAGTCATGTATATCTTTCAATACACGAACAAATAAGAGGGACCCAGAACTAATACGCCGAGCTATAATACACAACCTGTGAGCTACATTATTATTGTAATTCAAGCTTTTGAAGATTGACAAGGTAGACATTTATGCAGTATTTTATGGGAAGATGTAGTACTCGACAAATGGAATGCTAAAATATGAAGGCAGATTTACAGTCTTTCACAATCAAATAAAAATCCTGTCACTTGGATGCACTTGCCTGGCAGCCACAAGGCAAAATATGGGTCTTTATTTAATTTAAGACACTCACCATAATGAACACGACATGTAGTACTGCAGGGAACATTGTATTAGAAAGTGGTTCATCTTTTCTCCAAGTCCTATCAGCTGTTTTTAGATTACAAATCCCGCCCTCTGCAGTATGGCGGCCCTCCTGAAAACTGCTTCGAGTTTTATTTTTATATTATATTTATTGTCTCTCAAAATTGGCATAGTTACTATTTTGATGTTTCATAGCTCTCAGTCTTTTATGAGTACTAAATTTATTTAATTCAATTATAACTGTAAATTTAAATCTCATAAAAGTGTATTTTTTAGATGTAAAAGATGATATTTGTCAGATTGGACAGCCTGTTTTCAAAAATACCGTATTAAAATTACACATAAAATTGTGAAACGTCCTGAAAAACATGTACAGTATTGCTCTGTCCCACGAGTGAAATGCTTCCGAAAACCGTCTCCACCCAAGCTCTAAGCGGTGTATTTCGGTGGCGACCTCTGTTGAGAGATAGTGGTTTAACTGACCGCCCCCCCCTTCGAAAGCACATTGGCGCTGCTGCATGGAACTCACCCTCTGAGTTATTTAAAAAAAAAGAGTTGCGACATGAGTGTTTCAATTGTTGGTAATAAAATGGTGGATTATGCGTTAGTGCACGTGAAGAATCAGCCCACAATAGCACCATTATGTAGTAGATACGTAATGAACAGCTATTTTGGTTTCGAAGTCTGAAGTCGGCTCTACTCTACAGCTCTGCTTGTCTTCGGCGTGTCATTAGGCCTATAATGAGGCCTGGCGGACACGATAGAAGAGCGCTGTTTGGTTTGGGTAAAATCTGTTGCGTCTACTCCAAATTTACTCACTTCAAATAGCGCCCTCCTGTTATGTCCACCATGCATGCTGCGAAAGGCTCATTACTGCATCATTACAGAGCATTTGTCAATATTACGTTTGCGGTGGTAATAAACTTCCGCACGAATACGGACGAATTTCAATGTTAAAACAGATTCATTGGAAGCATCAAACTAATGCCAAATGCACATGCAGGGTTCTCAGGCTTGCTCGTGATGAGTTTTGCGGTGCCAAACCTTTTATTCTCTAGTAGCGTAGTGAAGGGGGGGGTACGGTTGCAATAGAACCTAAAGGGGAAAATTCTGTTTTATTCATTATAAGTTACCTGTAGTTCATATCACAATTTTTTTGTATTGTTTTTCAATTGCTTGTCTTTCAATAATTATCGTCTCAACTAAATCCTAGCAAACTCAGAAACAGAACCAGTTATATTATATTGGCTACACTGTACAAAAACTCCCCACCTTCCCCAAGACAACAACAATCTAAACGCATTGATACTGAACTGCGGTGGCATTTTGATTGCTGGTAAAGTGACTATGGCAAGATCTTCCCTCATGGGCCTTTAGGCTACGATTGAAGTGGATACATCTCAGTGCACAGAGAGCAAGCACATAAAATAGTAAAAGACAAAATTATGTTAGCTTTGAAAAGAAAACGTTTTGAGGGAAATAAGAGCTCTACCTGCTAATCGGGTTTTAAACAAGAGTACTTTGACAAATCCAGTTAGTTAGGATGCAGTGGGTTTCCAAGTGGGAGTCATGTCGGCAGCCACATTGCTCTAACAAGACCACTGTTAGGCCCTACTGTAAAAAAAAATGTCCTCGCAAGAATCTGTCAACAAATCGGACACTTTGCTAGGAGACTCGAAATAACGCACCAAGAATGCGCGTGGGTAAAGTTTACTTAGGGGGATTCCTATTGCTTGCCCAACCAGTTTACTCAGCAAGTACAGATTAACACTAAGCAAACAGATCCATTCTCCTCGACACAGAAAACAAGGATGCCATGCTGGTGCGTTGTCCTAAAATGGCAGAATTTAACTCACTAGTCCGGACTACTTGGTCACAGCACATAAGTTTTTGATTTATTTTATTACCTGTACCCACATTCTATCTGCTAGTTTTAAACAACGAATCGGACTATACCATTAAGCATATATTATTATGCCGTCTTCTTCAATCAAACTCTCTGGACATGATTTGACAACTGAGAATTTGTTTTGTAAAGGAAGGGTTCTGCTGGAGAGTAAATATTTTGCCTATGTTAACCCCTTGCAATAATTAAGTCCTGTTAAAAGCTATCTAAGCTTTTTTACTGATTGGTTGATAGGTAGAAAGATTTCCAAAGTTTGGGACCATCAGGAATCAGCCGTATAGAGTGATCCGTGAAGCTCCCGGCTCATTATATGACCTGCCACAGGTGTATGTTAATGGTCCATGCCTCCCTCCCCCGTCAAAAATGTACGGGGTACTGACACCCCCTTCTTCCACCGTCCGCGATTACTGACAGCAGCGGAGGATTTCACAGATCGAGTTAGGGTTACAGGTAAGGAGGCCAGAAGTTAATTGGAGAGAGTTAGGGTTATGGGCCTAAAGCTGGACCAAGAGAGGGCGCTATTTCCTCAGCAACAGAGGCTCCTTTGGTATCAGTTGTGTGTTGTTGGTTCACCGACGACTAGGCAAGCGTTGCAGTGGCATCGCTATCAACAAAATGAACATCCCCGACCAACGCGGCTCTTTTCAACCAATGAGGGGGGTGCTTCTACTCAAGGCTAATACGCGGCTAGGTTGAAGATTCTAACAGATATGCGGTCAGGTTAACAGGGTGAGGAATGGAGAATTTACTTGACAGAGTTAAGTTTAATCGAGAGTGCAATGAATAGGGTTGGAGTTAAGTCAAGAAATGAAGAATTCAACTTTGCGGTAAGAGTTATCCACCGTAAGGAATCAAGTGGGTTGGGTCAGGAAGAGAAAATGTATAATGATACGGGTTGAGGTTAGTCCTCGAATACGCATGGGGTCGAGATTTTGAAACGGTGGAACGTTGACGAAACGATGATTATAAGTGTACAGTAAGGTGCAACAAATATTAGCGATAAACTGTAATTTGTAATTGAATCTAAACCAGGTATATAGTCTACTTAGCAACGGCAAACTAAACCTGATTGCGTATTTGTTTTAGGGTAACATTTTGGAGGCTAACATTTTGGAGTTCCGCGAAGAATTCACACAATAATAAAATGATAACGATTGAACATATCCTGAGCCGCATGCTCGTATCTACATAATACCTTTCTGGATTGTTCGTCACAGTTCCAGAATAGTCTGCGTGCAGCACTTTTCATTTCGATTTTTAGGGACCAGTTACCTTTGGGCAATTATTTTGTAATTACCAGAACCGTGAAGATTTGCCTCCTATGTATGGCGCAGGTGCCAATGATAAAAATAATAATTTATTCTTGATATAGGGTCTCACATTATAAAACTCTCAAAGCGCTTCACAAGAGAATCGTAAACAAGCAATAAGAACCAAACATAAATTAATTGATATAAACATCAAGTAATACCTGACAAAATTTGATATCTTAAATACGTCAATTTAATTCAAAATCCCAATTATCATATTATCCATTTCCACATTCATATAACTAGTAATTAATAGTGAATTAACGAATGTAAAACATAACAATATGTCCTAAAAAGAAATGTCTTCAGTTGCTTCTCAACAATAAGAGGTCCAGTCCGCTGAGTGCGTCAGTGCCAAAAGATTGGAATGGGAGGGCCACAGAGGGTGCATTAAGAAAACATATTTGTGTGGGGTCAAACAGAAATAAAAATGAAACTTCTTTACCTGTGAGAAACAAGGCTAAACTCAAGCTTTTTTACACGCTTTGGGAAGGAAAGGAAGCTAAGTCCCCTTCCTTAAAAACTTATCCTTTTCTCAGTGTTTTTCCCAAATCAAAACAATCCCCTCCTCGAGAGGCAAACCCCCCGTTGCCCCCCACCCCCAACTTGCCAAGCCCCTCCGGATCTGCCAATGCAGGCCACAGGGATGTGCACACAAAGACCGCTCTGTCCAGTAGTTGGAAGTTTCGTTTAGGTTTTTAGGTTTAAGACACTTCCATTGAAGTAAATTCAAAGTTTAAAAGGCTATACGTTTGACTTTGTGAATGTTGAGGGGATGACCAGGGCATGGTCACCGCTGTTTCGGCCGTTGTAAAAAGCCAAATACGGTTATGCACATGTCACACTTTTGCAGCCAGGTCAAACAAAATACATAATTCATGAGTAATGACCCAGCGAAGAAGCGCCTTAAAACGTTTGTCTTGAATATTCACATTTGGGGCGGTTACTTTCACAGAAGTTCATTCCTAAGAGTTCTCATGATGTAATGGATCCTCGAAACAGAAAAATATTGGTATAACAGGCGCGAAACCTGAACTCCGATATAATAGTTTTGTCAGTCACTGTCCAGGGCTTGTTTTCAGGAAAAATATGTCATGGGTAATGTATACGTAAGTTTTCAAAAACTCAAGCCGTTGCACCACTTCATGTAAAAGAGCGGGTTATGATCTCTTCAAATCATGTATTTTCATAATGGCAAACCTCACACACGAGAAAACCCAAGCCCTTGAATAATTTAATATATGTAACCCTGAGCGGGGTTTCCCGCGAAACGTGCAGCGTGGTCCAGCGGGGTGCCAGCTTAAGGGGCCGAATCCGTTGTTCATTGGACCATTTGGCCATACGCGATTTTAGACCACGGCTCCCAAGCGGTAAACGTAATGACCCAAAATATACTCCCTGAGTACCCGGTAAATCCCAAAAGAAAACTGTTTGAAACAGACCAGCATCAATCATAGAGTGCATTTTAAACAAAGAAAAAAAATCTAAATACCCAACATTTTAGAAATATTTTGCTTGATTACAGGGCTCCATTTCTATTCCCCTTTAAACTAAATTATTGAAATAAACTATGAAAAGAAATCTTAAGTTTAGCGAGGCCCTATATTTTGTAAGCGCCCAAAATTATTTAACTATAAAGCTATATAGGCCTATTTATCCATACATATTCAATAACGAAACTTTTTACAAGCATGCTGTTCACTTTAACATTTCTATGCTGAATTTTTTCTTAATTGTCAAGCCTACTATTACGATATTGTGTTTAATAAATATTTGTTTACTTTGACTGGAATATGCAATAGCAGTAGCCCAACAATCTGCAAATGTCCATTGCTATGGCGTGTATCATATGTGGTCATGGTGTAGCGTGCCTGATTTGTGTCGCACAGAGCGGTGATGAAGACCCAAAGGACCCTTCTTCACCTTAACACTGAGCATTTCTTCGGGATAACTTATTTTATACCAGTTTGAGGCCCATAGAAATCACCTTGAAATCGACCACAGAGCACGAAATGAAACACATCCCCCGACTCTTCGGCAGGCCGCTCACTCAACAGGATGTGTTAACATGGTAGAATTGACAACTGTTTAAGTGCCACTGACACATCGAATGTAAAAAGAGAAGTAACTCTGAAATATTCATGTCCTTCTTTCATTTGTTAGCATTTTTGTGAAAATAACCTCCCC